CCTATCCTAAAAAGAGTACCATTTAAAAAGCAGTGGCCTGTACGTATTCTACTGACAACAACCTCCTCCTGTCTCTTTAATCCGCTACTCCTCTTAGCTTCTATTGTGTTTTGCACCCTATATCAATGTCTCCCTGGGCAGGGATAGCTCAGTAGGTAGAGTGGTGGCCCCATGATCGGAAGGTCGGGGGTTCGACTCCACTGAACGGCTACCCTGAGGTACCCCTGAGCAAGGTACCGTCCCTACACACTGCTCCCCGGGTAGTGTAAGGAGTCAGCTTTTCAGCTGACTCATACTGCGCAGCACACAATGCTCTCTCGTAAGGTCCTGGCATTCTACTGAAATAGCAAAGGCATGACCAGGTGATGGAGAACAGCTGTGTGGGTCAGCCTCCCCTGACACCACACCTTTACCCCACTGCTCCACCCCTCCCCTGTAGCTGAGCTGCAAACTACACCCTGCCACACAGTCTTGTTAAAACAGCAGTGGGGACATCTCTTCTGTAAATTTCACAATTCATGGTGACTTGGACTCTCTTGTGCTTGAAGTTGGCCTCTAGTGTTGTTTTCCACATTCCAATCTAATTCCTTTTGACTTCTTATTGATCTTGTACATTTCTGGGATTTCCAGAATTGGAGTGAAGGGCACTAAGTCATAGCCTCACACATGGATATAGTGTGGGTAAGACCTGTGAGTATTTACCTGGCAGTTTCTAAGGCCTCAGGCCTCGGGTAAGGACAGCTTATCAAGCAACTATACCTTTACAATGAAAAGTTGTTCATCAGGAAGCTGCGGTATTTTCTCACATTTCGCACACAGCCAATATGGTTGGTGTGAAATCAGTAATCAGCTGTTTATGAATCACCTCTGGAGAATTTCACTCAAGAAATATAAGATATGTTGAAGAAAACAGTTTATAATTGATATGTGTGGTTGGGGGACAAAATATTAATAGCCCAGATGGTTATCCACCAGAGGGTACTGCACAACCCTGTGAAGTGAAACTATTTCAGACACCCATTTCCTCTGCAACATTTTGCAGCTCATCCTGATCTCGGGAACACTAAAAAGATTAAGAAAAGTCTTTAAATTTATGTTGTCTAATCTTATTATATAATATTTTCAGCAATATGTCACACCCACACAAAATTTTATAACAGAAATGAATTGAAACATGACATCTTTTAAATTGTGTTTCTCTTGTTCAGAATTTGAGAAAAATACTCAAAAACTGACCCAAACCTAATCACATTATAATTAAATTTAATTTTATTGATATAGCACTAAATCACAATAACAATTGACTCAAAGTACTTTATATTGTAATGTAAAGAACCAACAACATGCAATTACTTCTCTTCCAAAAATTCAAACCTGGAACAAGACGAGCTGAAACAATCTGTTCATTGTCTGCAGTAAATGACATTAAAAAGACAATCATTTATTGCTTATGGCGTCTCTTACTCCTTTCTCCAACTGACTTTGTCGCGGGGCCCTCTCCTAAACTTCTCCCGAACAAATGCAGGCGTAGTCAGAAAGCATTCAGTGTGGATAATTTATTCTGCCGGCCTCCCAGGTGCACAAAAGATTATTTACAAAGAAAATAGGAAACTAACTTAAGTCAACACAAAACAAACATCTATATACAAAACACAGTCTGCATGTTACCCTCTCTGTAACATCTCACTGAAAAAAGACGCCAGGTAGGCCCTGACCGCCTTCTCTTATACCCCATAGCCCCTCCCACTAGGCATAATGGTCATCTCTTTATTATTTCTTTTACCAAACAATCTTTCCCCCTCAGCTTATTTCCCGCTGTATTCCTACAATACATATATGTATATACAGACATTTATGGCCAATTCCAGGCAGCCTACAGTGTTTCACAATAACAAAAAACAAACCAAAAAATAATGCAGTTCACGTGACCTTTCAAGCGCGCGCGAACCCACTATTTAAACCCCGGAACACCATACCATCGGCTTGCATAACCCCCGTATAATCGACGATCACAGCGAGTCTCCGCGACCAGCTTTATTAAAGGTAAGTGGGAAAATATGTTGGCCACCCTCTGCGCTGCTCAAAATATACCTCTCACCCCTTTTTGTTTACCTGCCCGGTCGACGAAAAGACGCGCAGCCACGTTAATTGTAGAAACTAATGGTGGTGGTGCGTGTATGCGCCCAGATCAGCTGTCTGCAGCCCGGGACGGCGTAACTCCGTCACAGACTTGTTTTAGTATTTTCTTTTAAACAATCATTGTCCTCCAGAGGTCCACGTGCCTGCGATGCTTGATAGGACTCCATCTTTGAGGTGATGGCCCCTTCACCTGTTGTTATTCCCAGTCAAAATCACATAATTCCTGTAGTGAAAGCTGACTCTGGGAACAAGGGAGATGACTCCTCCATTGACAGGACTGAGGCCTCTGAAGTAAAAAGAAGTCAAACAGCTCCTCTCTGGCTGGAACCAAAGGATGGTGAGCCTCCTTTTGAAGAAGGGGCACTCGAGGCAGGATTTCAAATTAAGAGTCATCACAGTCCTGAGCCCCCTGGGAAGTTTAATGGACAATTCTTTACAAAATCAGCACATTTGTACAAAATTAGTTTGTTTATTTTTTTCTCTTTTTAACACCATTGCTGAGAATCCGAGTGACCACAATAAGCTGAGTGGGTGCTTCTGTGAAAAAGGAGGGTGGACAACCACAAAGCTGCTATCTTCTTTTAATGCAGACTGACACATTTAACCACAGAGCACAGAGCAAACATGTTTCCACTACATGAACACTGTCATTAGCCAAGCCAGGACTCACTGCAGTGAGAAGACATTTTAGACTACAGTTAAACTAAAATCATAACTGAGATCTGGTCAGCATGGAGGATGTCATTCACTATCACAATAATAAAACTGTAGAAGTGAGAGTCAGAATTATGGTACAGATGCTGATATAAATGAGATTTTAAATGCTGACGAAATATAAAATAGAGGAAAAAGAGTGAATCAAATGTAAAAGGTTCAGTGTAGAGAAATGCTTTTCCAAATCTACATGATCCTTCCTGTGTTTAAAATGAGCAGCTCTGTGTTGAAACACCTGCAGCTGAAGTGTTTCTTTCTATCAGAAACAGGATGCTGGACGACTGCAGAGCTGTTAGCTTCAGTTAACCACAGACCACAAACACACAGTCCAGCTCACAGTGAACAACACTCAGTAAGTACAGAGTTAGACAGCTTTGAAACAAAGTGAAGACACATAAGAACGATATAAACTCAAATATTATGATTTCAGATTTGGATGGTATCAGATCAGGAAAATCTTTTTTTTTCACTTTTACAAAAAATTTTACACTTCTGAGTATCCCTCACATGCCTTCATACTAAATTCAAGTCACATACTCAGCAGCCATATTAGTCACAGGCCTGAGCTGATCTGTATGCAGTCATTTTAAAACATCTGCCTAAATCTCTTAAAAAAGAAGTTAAAACTGCCATCTAGGTTCTCTGATTGGCTGTTGTTGATGGTTTAACTTTTTGATAATGGTATATATGACATGAGTGATGATGTCATCTTCTCCAGTTTCTTCTTGGTCTGCTGAAATGATTCAAAATGAATATTTAAGAAAGGTGTTACAGTGATATGAATGTGAACTTTATTCTACTAAACAAACTCAGACGTGAAAGATCAGGAAGTCTGAGTCTCACCTTCAGGTTTCCTGTGAACACATCGTCTCACCAGCAGAACCAGTAACACCAGTAGAACCACAACACAGACTGATACAACAAATGAAAACACAGAGAGAGGAGGAGGAGAGAGTGATGGAGGAAGAATGATGGAGGTGGATCCAGGTGGAGGTGTGGTGGTGTGTTCCCCTAAAATAAAGCAAACACAGTCATTAAGTTGTCGTCACATTGTGAATGTTGAAAGCTGCAGAAACACAGACAGGTGAGTGTGTCACCTGTGACAGTGATCCAGCTGGATGGAGACTCTCCATGACCGCTGATGTC